GATTGTACCCGGAATAGGCATTGAGAAAATTAAGGGTCTCGTGGCTGGCCGTGGCGTCGATCATGCGATCGATGTTAGGAAGTGGAAAAGAATCTTTGGGACATGCCTTGTTTAAATCCTTATAATCTACACACATCCTAAGTTTGTTCCCTTTTTTAGGAACTACGACTACATTAGCCAACCATTCAGGATATTTTACTTCCTGAATGGACTCTATTTTGAGAAGTTTAGTTACCTCGTCCTTTATGAATGCGTGCTTTACCTCGGATTGGGGCCTTCTCTTTTGTTTCACTGGTCTGAACTTTGAGTCCAGGCTTAGTCGATGTGTTGTTATTTTCGGCCGGATCCCTGTCATGTCTAAGTGGGACCAAGCAAAACAATCTATGTTATCAATAAGAAAATGAATAAGCTTTTTCCTGAGTTTGGGGGTTAACCCCGTTCCCAGGTATACCTTTCGCTCGGGCAGGTGCTCGATCAATATAACCTGTTCCAACTCTTCGACCGTTGATTTGGTGGCGTTGGAATCTTCGGGAACAACAAAAGTTCGAGGGGTCAAAAAATCTTCCTCTTCTTCTTCCATTTCCTGCTTCTCCGATTCGGTCAAGGCTGGTGGCGGTGATTGCTATTTGGCTTCCTGTTTACCCCCGATCCTTCCGATGTTGATAGCGCCAAAATCAGTATTACGTCATCGACCGCGAACATTTCTTTTGCAGCATGCTGCTCCTCGTATACCATTTTGACCCCGTCTGACATCGGGAATTCATCATTTGGTGGAGAGTCAAAGGGAATGCCCTCATGTTGTGGATCCAAGGCCTCCAGAGCAGGGCGTTGTACCTCATGTCGCTCTCGATTACGTGAAACTTGGTATGTTGGATAGTTCCAACCACATTCACCAGTAGGATAATCTCTCCTTTAGTTGTTTCACTGGCCATATTGAAACCGTTCAAGACCCGAGCTACGGGCACGATATGATCTTGTAGGCCGAGTTGCTCCACGACCCCCGATCGAATGATATTTGTCGTGCTACCTGGATCCACTAAAACACACTTAACTTGAACTTTATTTAATAAGATAGAAATTACCAGAGTGTCGTTGTGAGGTTGAGAAATTCCTTCTGCCTCCTCATCGTTGAATGATACGGTGCCTTCTGGCACATAGTCTCGGGTCCATTTTTCTCTAGTAATTGATACCTTAGTGCGTTTGAACATGGTCCCTTGCGGAATATCGACACCTCCGACGATCATATGAATTACATGTTGCGGCTCCTCCTACTCATTTTTCTTGTTGGCGTCCCTTTCCCTGAAATGATTCTTGGCTCGATCACTTAGGAATTCTAGAAGGCGGCCCTTATTGAATAAACGAGCTACCTCCTCTCTCAATTGCCTGCAATCCTCAGTCCTGTGACCGTGTGTGCCATAATATTTACACATCAGATTGGGGTTCCTTTGGGAAGGATCGGTCTGTATGGGCCTAGGCCATCTGGTGTCTTTGATTCTTCCAATTGTTGATACAATGACCGACGTATCAACACTAAATTATACTCTGATAATCGAGGTGCCTTTGTGAGGTCGACGTACTTGTCAAAACTATTTTTTCTCATGAGTCCCCGAGAATTCTATCCTCGATCACTTTTCCAATCGTTCCGGGCGTGATTGTGTCCTGTACCACTATTCCTACGATCTGAGGTGTATGGTTGATATCGGTCTTTGTTCGATCTTGGCTCTCTGTTGATGTCCCTCTGATTTTTGGCGGCTGACCTGTTCGGGTTCACTGAACCGGAAGGAGCTCGTAATTGGTCATCCTCGACCTTGATCTTCGATTGGTACCGATTTTGTACATCTGCCCAAGTTACAGCCGGATATTCGAACAGATTTTGCTTTAGCTGACGTGATGCTATCGAACTTTGTTCATTCAATCCCTGAGTGAAAGCTTGAACGGCTCAATCATCTGTGACCAGTGGCAACTCCATGCGTTCCATTTGAAATTAGGATACAAACTCCCTCAACATTTCATTATCACTCTGTCTTACTTTAAAAATGTCCAATTTCCTTGTTGCAACCTTTATGGCTCCGGCATGTGCCTTTACGAAAGAGTCTGCCAACATGGCAAGCGAGTCGATGGAATTTGGTGGTAGATTGTGGTACCAAATCATTGCTCCCTTCGATAGGGTTTCCCCGAACTTCTTCAATAAAACAGATTCGATCTCATCATCTTCCAAATCATTACCCTTGATGGCGCATGTGTAGGAGGTGACATGCTCGTTGGGATCGGTGGTCCCATTGTATTTAGGTATGTCCGGCATACGAAACTTCTTTGGAATTCGGAGCCGCACTCGAAGGGAACAGTTTTTGTACAAATTTCTTCGAATCCATCCCTTTCAAGATTGGTGGTGCCCCCGGCATCTGATCAACTCGGGAGTTGTATGTTTTCACTTTTTTATCATTAGCTTCGATTTTCTTCTCTCCTGACTTGATTCTTTTGGTGATCTCCTCGAGCATTTTCATTATTGCAGGATCAGTCCCCGATTCGTTACCATTCGACCTTTCTGGCATTGGCTTGGTACGGCGACTGATTTCTGGCTCGACCTCACTCGAAGTTCTATGTTGATTTTGTAACTGAGCAATAGCGGCCTGCTGAGCCTGCAGCATCTCGAGTATCACCTGGAGACTAAACTCCTCCGTCTCCTCTACCCTGTGTACCTTGGCCACCAGATTGGCCTTCTCTGCGTACACTCCCTTCGGGGTCCGCGCCTAGGTCTGCATTTAAAGCAACGTGCGAACTAACATCGACTGGATTGGCAACCGGTGCTCCCCCGAGATTAGCCTGTGGCACCTCGGCTCCTGGAGCAATTATATTATCATTTTCCCCGTGAAACCCGAGATCATCTTCACCATGTGTGGGTGCGTTTTGGAGTTTGAAATGTTTTAACCTGAGAGCAAAGATACTTGACAAGAACAAGCGTAAAAATAATGTGTATTATCAGAATCAGCACCGGACAATCACTATTACCCTTAGCCCCACGTTGGGCGCCAAACTGTTTGCCCTCAAATTCGGATAATAATTAAACTTATATTGTGGTTTTAAGGATATGTGATTTCGTCCAATACCAATTGATAAGCAAGAAAATAAATGAATAAATTAGAGTAAGTCAAACCAGTATGCTAGCCAGGTCTCGACCTCGACTTGGGATAGTCTCGAGGTGGGATAGTATGAACAGTAAATGATAAAGCAACTTTGATGAACAGTAAGTGAAACAGCAAGAAAGTAATGAGTGTATAAATTCTTATCAGTGAACAACAATCCTTACAAATGAATGGAATCCCTCTTTATATAATAGAGGATTCCTAAATAAGGTACACTTCTAATAATAGCAGGAAATCATGTTAACATTTGATTAACCGCCGTAGATTGATCCGTTCCGAGATTCACGCCACGATCCTCGACCAATCGCGGATATCTTGCCTTTTCCGTCATCAAGTTATACCGATGTCACTCGAAGTCCGTCTCTTTCTAGCCGCGATCGGTGTTGACCTCGGTCCGGACTCGATGTCCTAGCTCTTTGACGCAACATTCCTATCTCGGCCAAAGAATGAAATAGGGTAGCCCTGATTTCTACCGTATACAGATTTATAAATATGTTGAATTGCTAATGATGTTGACTTATAATTAATACTTTTTATGTATTTTCTAAATATGTAAATAATATATTTAAAAAGCTAATAAATTTATTTCAGAATTCACATAGGAAAAAAGCTAAATATTGACCTCAGGCTCCGGAACCTTGACACATAATACCATAGCATGATAATATAACTAAAAAAATTCCTTTCTTTTTTACACAGACAAAAAGGATAGGGAATATGAGTCTTGATCAGGTAAGGCGGGTCCAAATGATTATAATCTGCAAAAATAGCTAAACATGGCTACAAATTAGGCGGTGTTTTAGCAACATGGCTGGCTAATGGCTATGGAACCCAAGAATTTGTCACATTTCTCCATTTTTCCTCTTTTCTTCTTCCACCTTCCTCTGCACCACCATTTACCCATTGTAGGTGTCTGCCATTTCAACAAGAACATGTAATTTATCTTTTTCTATGCCATAAACAGGTACCCTTTTTTTAATTCTATACATGCAAATGTGCATACTTTATGTTCGTTTTGAGTTCTCTATTAATTATCAAGAACAGTTGAATCAAGAACATGCATTTCTCTCATTATATGCCAATTAACAGCTTGTTTGGATAATTGTTATATGTCGGTTTCATAATGTATCGTATTATATTGTATTGTATTCAACTAAATTGTTTTGATGAATACAACATTTGGATCTATTGTATCGTTTCCGTCATATAATGAGATCACGCACCAACATATGAAGAATAAACTTGTAATGTTACAAAGAAAAAGTAGGGTATGTGATAGAATTATTATATAAATGGATAGGGTAAAGGATAAAATAAGATTATTTAATAATAATAAGGATAAGACGAGAGAAAAAAAGGTAACGCCTCGACCACACCAAATCGGTTGTTACATAAAATGACACTTTTCATCGTTACTGAACTATGGATTTAAAGATACGATACAAAAAAATTTAAGTAACAATCAAAACAAACATTATATTTAAAGTAACAATACGATACAATACTGAAGGGAGACCTTAGCGTAACTGGTAAAGTTATTGTAAGTGGTCCGACCCTTTTCCGGACGCGGGCATAGCGAAAGCGTAGTGCATCAGACTGCTTTTTTAATACGATACAATACAACAGTAACCACCGTCCAAACATAAATGTGGTACCTTTGTTTCTTTTTTTCGTATCTGCATGTAATTTGCAAATTAATGGTGTGTAATTTATGTTTGTTTGAGATATACTTTTATTCTTTTTGTCTTACGTAATGATATGATATGGTTGGATGTCAAAAAGAACTAATCTTTCTATTACCTTTTAGAAAGAAAAAAGAGAACTTTTCCCATTCTTGTGCACCTGTAATTAAGAACATTAAACAAAAGTTCCCTTTAATTGCGGTGTTAATCTCCAACTTTCCTTATTGGGATTCCAGGATTTTGGAGGGTAGAAGTAAGAGTGAGGATAAAAATGATGATAGTTTGAATTTTAAGAAAGCATGGGTTGAAGTAATCATTTGAACAACTGTTTATTATACTATTCTGTTTTACCCTTTTGGTTTCTGTTTGAAACATTCGGCAACTTTCATCCTCCCAACATTTTTCTTCCTAATGAGATTAAGGCGTAGTCAATGCATTCTTTCTTGTGCCTCCTCCCATCATAAAGTAAGCCTCTTTCTTCCTCATTCTTCTAGTTCTTTTTCTTGGAATTCTTGTAATTTGTTGAAAGTTTGGTTCTTTAGCTTGGTTTAACGCTAGCATAGTCGAATGAAGCGGACCGAATTGAGCTAAACAAATGTTGATGATTCATATGAGCTTATGGAGGCATGACCTTTGATAGGAGGGTGCGGAGGTCGAAGATTAGTGTAGAAGGTTAGGGGGTAGTTGAGTGTATTCCTTTGCCTTACCGTGGCAATTTTTTGTTCGTGGAGTTATGTGTATATCTGTTATTTCTTTCGCTTCAGTTATTTTACTATATCACTGTTGTTACTGTACCTTTTCACTTTGTCCTTGAGCAGAGGGTCTTCGGAAACAACCTCTCTACCTTCACAAGGTAGGGGTGAGGTCTATGTACACACTACCCTTCCCAGAGGCCGGACCCCACTTGTGGATTATACTGGTTATGTTGTTGTTCGATTATACCTGGTTTTGGCATTGAGGTTTAGTAGCTTCGCGGTTAATGAATGTAAGCATAGTTGATGGGAATGAATAATATTAGGTGTCATCAGTTCAAATTTCCATTCTTGAACAATGTGTGTTATTGTGGTTATTCGTAGGCAAGATCCGGGCCCACTATCTATCAACTTTCGAACCGTGCTCCACTGGTCCTCGGGGATTTTTCGATTATCAAAACAAATATTTGAACTTGATATCCTCTATGCTTTAAACTTTTGAACTTCTACTACTGTAGGACAACTTTGGTCATTCTATAAGATTGTACAAGATTCTTAGGCTAGATGACAGGAAGACTAAACTACAACTACAACTACAACTACAATAACAACAACCCAGTATAATCCCACTAGAGGGGTCTGGGGAGGGTAGTGTGTACGCAGACCTTACCCCTACCCTGGGGTAGAGAGGTTGTTTCCGATAGAGCCTCGGAATCCTTCCCTCCAAGAACTCCCCACCTTGCTCTTGGGGTGACTCGAACTCACAACCTCTTGGTTGGAAGTGGAGGTTTCTTACCACTAGAGCAACCCCTCTTGTCGATAGGAAGATTGAACTATCATCGCAAATTCTAGGGGTTGATTAGAAAAGCATTAACGTGCAATTTTCTTGAAACAATTGTTTGAATTTCTCTGCTGCACTCTTCTATGATCTATAAGCAACTCGATACATTTCTTGTTTTTGCGCGGCCTGAGCTCTACCAAAGGAGTTGAATTACAGCCCTAAAACAGTATGTCAAATGCTAGTCTTAATCATTTCGATTTGTCTAACTTATAGAAATAAAAATAATTTGAAGTGGTTTTAGCTTGTACCTACGTCTTAGTGCGACATTATGATCAGTTTAGTTAATGCTCTTTGCGCTGCAGCTAAAATTGATCTTGAATCTTGATGGACTCGTGACGTTGTGCCTATTACCATATTTATGTGGATGATGTCAGAATTTCACTTTCCTGTGTTTTTTTACTTGCATATAACAAATTATGTAAAAGCAGAGTAAACTTTTGTTCCTAATTTCATCTCACAGTACTTATGAATTCAGGCTGATGAAGATGAAAGTAATTGGCAAAGAAGGAAGCTTGATGAAGAGCCAGCATGGTCGCATAATTCTCCTCACGTAATCTCTCAGTTAGCTCAGTGCTTTTGTGAGTGAAAATTATTCTTCTAATTTACCACCTGAATAATTTTATTTAGGGATGCTGCATCTGTATTATTATCTTTTTTGAGCTGTCGTTCCCTTTACTTAATATGTTAATCAACTAATGTGTACATTTCCATAATTATTTGCTTATTTCACTTATCGGATTTTGATGGCTGTAGCTAATGCTATGGTTGGACCACGAGCATGGATAGGAGGAATCTTCAACCGCTCAGGCAATAGACGGTTTGGAAGCGATAAATATCTTGACTACCCTTTAACTCCTCTTCAGGTAAACCAGAGTACCATGTTGTTGGCCGTTGAGTTTATCTGACCTATACCTCGATTTCATGTCTATCGAAGTTATACAGGCTTCTTTTTTAGCCTATCTGGTTCAATCTGTTCCTTTGCGAAGTGGTTCTTTCTGTTGGTACAAAATAGTTGAGACTATTATGGAAGTTTTTTTTTAAATTCTCTTTGTAGTTTATACCTTCGTAACATTGTGGATTTTTTCATATATATTTAACTTCTGCCAGGAAGAAAGATTACGTGCGCTTCAAGAACGGCTAGGAGTACCTTTTGATGAAACACGCCTAGATCATCAAGTATTTCCAAAATACTTGTTCTATTTTCATTTCCATGCTAATTTCAGTTGATAGTTACCATGAAATGCTAATATTTTGGGGATAGTGAAGTTGCAACTTGCTAAGGTCATGTAGTGCGGTCCCAATATTCATGAAAAGTGTGATCCAATATTCTTCTATGACCAATATGTTTATTTAAATTTAAATGTTCACTTAGAAAGGGAGCCGTGGCGTAACCGGTAAAGTTGCTGCTGTGTGACCGGGTGGTTAGGGGTTTGAGCCATGGAAACAGTTTCTTGCAGAAATGCAGGGTAAGGCTGCATACAATAGACCCGTGTGGTCCGGCCCTTCCCCGGAACCCGCGCATAGCGGGAGCTTAGACCAGGCTGCCCTTTCTTTTTATGTTCACTTCGTATGGAAAAACTTTTAAACTTACATAGACTATTATTTGGAGTAATGTTCAAAGAATTATATCATACTAGTAACATTCCTTTTACAGTTTTTGATAACTAGTAACGTTGCAGACAAAAACAAGCTATGCAATTGTTCTTGTAACAAATCGGAAGTTTACACAGGCCATGGGCACCTTGTTAGTTCAATATGCTAAAAGTTTGCAAGAAGTCACTAAAACATTCTGCCTCTCTAATTTCATGGCAAAGCACCAACATCACTATTTTATAAAATTTAATCTTAATGATATTATCGGTAACTATTATCACATTAGAGTAGTAACTTAGTTTATCTGTGTCATAAAGGAAAATTTGGAAACCTTAGTTATCTCTGCATTTTCTTTCTGGATTTTGTTTCTATCGGTACCTGCATGTCTTTTAAATGATATCGTTTATGTTTTTCTGGTTATAACCTGTATTTTAGCAAATAATTAACTCCAAATTTCAGGAAGCTCTTCAAGCTTTATGGAATGCAGCATTTCCAAATGTGAAGCTAAAAAGTTTGATCTCCGAGCAATGGAAGGATATGGGCTGGCAAGGAGCAAATCCATCGACTGACTTCAGGTGAATTTCATCCTTTCATATCCTCAATGCTTTGACAAGATACATTGATATTTTTGTCACTTTTCGCGGGAAGAAATATGTAAGACTTTTTGGTAAGAGGAGATTCATTTCTGTTGGTCAATTGTAATAATTAGAACATAGCAGTTTGCTTTTTCATCTATACAGAAAAAGGTATCCTACCATTCATTTGCAGCGCCTCGTCTACCATTTATTCTTGGCTTTGTTTTGACTCTTTGTTGCAATGATTCCACTATAAAATAACACCGAGATATGTGCTTGAATGCATATCTCAAATATCTCACCAGCTTCCGGCACTTAGTTTACTCTTGTTGTCTAAGATATTATTCTCATCTGAAAAATCATGTTGTTGTAGGGGTTGTGGATTTATTTCACTCGAGAATTTGCTGTTTTTTGCAACAAGATATCCGGTATGATGTTTAGCTGTTTTGCGAAGATATAGGTGTTCACAATCTGATTGCGGCTTATTAAGTCATAACTAATTGCATATATTCAAAATCAAGGCTTGTTTTCATAGGTTGCTTTTCAAGCGAAGTGGATCTAGGGCAACGTGGGAGTATCCATTTGCAGTCGCTGGGATTAACGTTACATTCATGTTGATTCAGATGCTTGACTTATACTCAGGTGATTTAACGTTTTAAGTGATTTATACTAATTAAGAACAATCTCCTCTGCTTTCAAATATTATTCTTTATGATTCTTGATTGTCTCAAATTATACATTTTGCTAATATTTTCCTGTCTATTCTGAGCCGGCCTTAAACATTCTTCTTTTTCTCTTGCAGAAAAGCCAAAGTGTCTACCGGGAATTAATTTCGTTAAGTTATTAGGAGGTAAGCCAGTCATATAGATAGAAAATTAACCTAAGTACTGAATCAGGGTGCTTTCTAGATGAACTTTTTCGCTAAAATATACTGCAGAGGATGACGAGGCATTTGATGTTCTATACTGTATAGCATTCGCGATGATGGACGCACAGTGGCTGGCTATGTGTGCTTCATATATGGAGTTTAAGGTATACTTCTCTCTCTCTCTCTCTCTCTTTCTCTCTCTCTCTCTCTCTCTCTCACACACACACACACACACACACACATTAGGCTATGTCTCTCGTACACTCGCCCAAAGGCGAATCCTGTGTTTGAACTTTATGAGTTCAAGTTCGAAATTCTATCATAGTTCATAGGTCATCTGATTTACCGGGTTCTAAATATATTTTTTGTACGAATTTAGTGGATTTTTTACACATACACAGGATATGAGCTAAAGCTACTAGGTTCGAAGGAAACCGTATCTATTACCCTACATCCGCCCCAGCTCTCGCCCTTCCATTTCTCACAACGTGTTTATCATTAGAGGAAAATGTCATGAACCCGTATCAATATTTACTCAATATTATTTTTTTACTGCTGTGTTTGTCCAAAGAACAGTGTATGTTTAGCATAAATAGTTGGTCCTATGATCTGTATATGAAGATAATTGTAGATCTAAAACAAAACAGAATGTTTCACAGTATGTAGCTTACTTTTCCTCTACACTCTACGAAAGCATTTTTGTTTTATTCCTTCAGGATGTTTTGCAAGCGACGAGGACGCAATTAGAGAGAGAATTATCATTAGAAGATATACAAAGAATAGAAGATCTGCCAGCATACAACCTGATATAGCACATACACTTCTTATTCCCCTCTGTAATACCTGATATAGCTCACTCATTCTGCAGTTTGGTTAATTAAAGACAGACAAAAAAAAAAAAAAAGCAGTCCGGTGCACTAAGTTCCCGCTAAGTGCGGGGTCCGGGGAAGGGCCGGATCACAAGGGTCTATTGTACGCTGCCTTATCCTGCATTTCTGCAAGAGGTTGTTTCCACAAGAGACAGAATGTGATAAATGATTGAGATACATCCAATAGCTAAACCTGAAATTTTCTGTACAAAAAGGTGGTAGTTTACGCAACGCAAAGATTACTGAATAGGTTTCCAATGTTTTCTAGGATCTATTTAGTCGTGTCAGTAGAAAATATAGAGAACTTCTAGAGCTTTTTACTTTAATTTTTGTTTAATTTTGTATGATATCGGATTGAGAAGAGCTTAAATGGACATGAAAGATTCATATTTCCCATACAGCGTGCTTGGGATTTGTTGATGTGTAGTTGTTGAACGTTACTGAATAGATGAAAGAAGTGTTGCCACAGGTTGTCTAATAACTTTTGCCAGTTCTGAGTTATGCAAAGTCCTATTCTGCAATTTTTATATTACCTGTTGTTTCCTTTGGCATCGGCTATCTTATTATTTTGTTGTCGTTACTGTTTTTTTTCCCCCAGTATTTCCAACATGGCCTCCTCACTACTATTGTTTTTCTACTCAAACTTGCTTTGTTTTTTTCTTTGAGCCGAGGGTCTATTAGAAACAGTCTTTCTACCTCACACAAGGTAGGAGTAAGGTGTGCATACGCACTACCTTTCTCAGACTCCATTTGTGAGATTATACTGGGTATGTTATTGCTGTTGTTGTTCTGAGTTATTCAAAGTTTTGTGCTTCTATGTTTGGTTCTTCTGAAAATTAACAGATTGGTTTTCCCCTCTGCCTTGTTTCTCATTGACTTGTATATTGTTAGTTTCTCACATCTAAATGCCTATTAAAGACATAATTAAGTAAATAAAAGTGTGTTCCCTATTTATCAGCTTAATCTTTTAGATAGGATGGTGACACACTCCAACAGTCAAAAGAGCATATAACTAGTATCTATGAAATGTAACTCTTAAGGTTATTAGTAATATTTATCCAACTGAGTTGATTGTTTGAATAGGGGAGAAATTCAAAAATAGCCAGATTTACAAGTGGTCATTTAAAAATAGCCACAGTTTCAAAAGTAATCGAAGTTTAGCCACTTTTCATGTAAAGATAAATTTGAACGAAAACACTGTTCAAAATCCGAAAAACACTCCAGCATATTATAATGGAGTTCCAGCAAAAGTATACTGGAACTCCAGCATATTATAATGGAGTTCCAACATAAGTATACTGGAACTCCAGCATAATATACTGGAGTTCCAGTATAATATACCGGTCCAGTATAATATGCTGGAAGTTCATATACAATGCACCAATCTCCAGTATATTATGCTGGAACTTTCCGCGTGTTGGAGTTCCAGCATAATATGCTGGAAGTTCATACACAGGTGCACCGATCTCCAGTATATTATGCTGGACCGGTCCCTGTTGCAGCAAAATAGTTGCTATTTTTCAATGACTTTGCAAACACTGGCTATTTTGTGAATGACCAATCTGAAAACTGACTAGCCTATGCTATTTTAACTTTGAATAGTCATTCAACTTATGGGGTCATCACCGGATAATATATTTTCTTGTGAGATTTAATAACGTGACAAGTTTAATTTTAAGAAAAACAATAGCTAAGAAACTAATTAAGAAATTGGACCGATTTAGAACTCAACTCACCCCAAAACCGATCCAACATGATTTGATCCAATAATTTCTTTCTGTTTTGTTTTTGTCAAGAAAAAGAAATTAAAGACAACACTATCTGTGTGATAGATTAATGAATAAGAATATAAGTTATTCACATAATCATATTTGTGGTTGATGATGACAGCAACCACATTTGTAGTGTGTTTTAGGTTTGTTTGAATGAGTTATCTGTAAAGCAGCGTTTCACGAAAAGTTTTCCAATTTTTTCTTAAACAAACACCATAGAAATGCCATACCTAGAGGCGGTAGCATTACAAAAAGTTTCACAAGCGATATCAAAAAGACAGTCCAATGCATGAAGCATTTTGCGTTCACACAAGTTATAGAGAAGGGTCGCACTCCAAAGTATGATGTAGGCAGCCCACTTTAGTGCAAGCATTAGTGATTGATTACACAGTTCGAAGCCGTGACTAGGGGTGGCAAATGGGCGGGTTGGGCTGAATTTGGGCGGGTCAAGATGGGTTAGGTCAATAAATGGGTCATTGCCCAACGCAGCCCAAAGTGTACTTGGGCTAAGATGGGCTGGGCCAGATGGGCTAAACAATGGGTCATAGCCCAACCCGCCCACTTGACCCATGTTTTAGAACCATGCTCATCTTGCATAAAAAAGCCTTTTACCTTAAAATGTGTAAGTTGAAAACTCTTTTGCGTGTTGGGGTGTGGGTGGGGGGAGGGGTTGGGGCGGGCGGGCGGTGCAGAAAAACGAAAAAACTGAAAACAGAAAATTGAAAATAAAAGAAAAAGTAAAAAAAAAGTNGGGGGGGGGGGGAGTGGTTCAGAAAAAAAAACAGAAAATTGAAAATACAAAAAAAAGGTAAAAAAATCTTTTTTAGGGGTTTGCGCGTGGGGGAGGGGGGTAGGGTGGGTAAGTGGGTGGTGCAGAAAATTGAATTATGCGGAAAAACAAAAGAACAGAAAATTGAAAATACCAAAAAAAAAGAGTAAAATTGGGGCAACTAAGTAAAATTCTACATAAGTTGGGTTGAGATACCTTTTGTTTTGGGTGAGTTTCATGGGTTGTATTTAATGGGTCAGAATGAGCTATAAAAGATAATGGGTTAACTTGGGCTCAGCCCAAATTGACCCATGAACTAAAATATTGTAGCCCAACCCATTAATCTCTTAGCGGATTGGATGGGTTTGGGCTCAAATTGCCACCCCTAACCGTGATTGATAAATCACATAAAGATTACTTTATCGTTGCTTCTAGACTCCCCTTCACAAGTGATATTGTTGATTGTTATAACTTATAAGACTTTACTTCTTGTAGCAAATGATATTTACTTTGTATTATTTTCAAATGATGTCCATTTATTATAAGGAGAACTTTTTGCAAAGCGATATGAGATTACACTGTATTTCTGCCCCTTACAGGAAGAAGAAGCTCAAATTGCCATAATTCTTGCATAATCACGAGATAAATGTTAGTGTTGCAACTTAATAATTTCTTGTCATAGATTGCAAGAACTGAAAAGAAAAAAGTGTGATACCACAATTCTATAGTTCCGTAAAAGAGAATATAATCAATCATGATATGAATAGACGAATCAAAAGCTCACAAATTTAATTACCTAGTTTATAGATATTTAAATGTTCTTTGATATTACACTTATTTATTATTTTATGGCATTGCAGAAAATAGCAGTATAATTGGGTTTTAATTTTCTAAAATAAATGATTAATTTACCCTTCATTCTACCAACTTTCTCCATTTATAATCCTCTTTGTCCGACCAACATGAGTCGTGGTGGGACTGATATGATCCCGACACCCTTAACCAGAGGTCTCGAGTTTGAGTTCTGTACATAAAAAAAAATCTTGTTTAGGGAATACTCTCCTTTTAGATGGGCATTACGTGATATGAATCCAAATATATTCAAATATAATCGGGTTCCAATGCACCGGGTGGATAAACCCAACCAAACAATAATTCTCTTTGCATCCACAGACTTAGTGAACTATTAAAATTTGCCCAATGTAATGAAGCCTAGCACATCGAAAAGATCACACCCTTTGTGGAAATTGTTAGCAATCAGTTATGGATCATGCCAAACTTTATTGGCAATTCCACAAACTTATTGTCGTGTTGTTATTGGACCACAAGCCTAAGTGACATTTAAAACAATGTCTTTTTCTAAAGAAAATTTTATCTCCAATATTGAGCTTGACTAATCATCAAGTACTAAATCATACAATCCCCTACCCTACACCTATTGCCTATTGGATCGCTGTATATATATATATATATATATATATATATATATATATCGAATGTGTTAGATAATTTATCGAATTTTTTAAGTTAATAATCACATTTATTATGAACGAATACTTATTGTTATCTTTTAAATGCAAATAGCTTATATTAACAAAATTCTATTATATAAATAAAAATAAACGAAAAAGATACAGTATTTATCATGCACTCATTTTTTGATTCCCACATAGTGGATTACATAATTCATCTCCTAGTTCCTAGTTTCTAGATGAGATAAGAATTGCATTACAGCAAGTGCCAAACAATAACTGCCAACAACAGTTATGGTGGAGCCGTAAGTACTTATTCATTCTTAATTAGATGTCTTGGATTCGAGTCTTGAGTATGAATTCGCCTTTGTTATAAACTGCTTTACCCCTAATATTGGACTTCCTAACGTGAATCCAAATTTAATCAGGCCTCAATAAATATTAGCATAGACCCCGTATCAATCTTTATGAGCAACGAAAAATTTATATTAAATGTCATAGTGCCCCGCGACCGCTGAATTCTGAATCCGCCTCTGCCTCAATATGAATACAGAACACTGAGCAAGCAACAAAAAAAAAGGTTGCAAACAACCAATGTGGACAATTGGACATGATTCTTGACTACTTGACTAGGAAAAGAAAGAACATGCCCCATGTATAGCTATGAGTTGTTTGTTGGGGGTTGCGGGTTGCCTCAAATTTCTCCTATTGTCATATGGTTAGAGGTTGCACTTTTAATATAACGTGATGTTCTTTGTCTCAATAAATCAATCAACTAAGTGCTCGTTAATCAAAATTTAATTAATACTCCCTTCGAGCCATGATAAGTTATTTTTTTTGCTTTTTTAATTTAGTTCAAAATAAATGTCATTTTTACTTAATCAAGAATAAAGTAACTTTAGTTTTTCAAATTTACACTTGTTTATATATCTCAATGTATCAAGTTAATAATATACAAATTAAAATTAAGGATAATTTAGTCAAAATACTTTCTTTTTAGGAGTCAGTATTTTCTTAAGGGGTGCGCCAAAGGCCAAAAGTTCACTTATTGTGGATCGGAGGAAGTATTAATTATATACTTCCTCTGGTCCACATTAATTATTTTTAATTGTTTTCACACATATTAAGAAATTCACCTTTCAACATTAATTAACAATGAAATTGACCATATTAACTTTTGCTATTTTTTTAATTTGCTCATTAAAATATAACAATTTACTCTTTACTCCAAAGGCAACTTTGGAAAAAAAAATTTCATTCTTGATATCCGAAAAAAATCAAATATTGTGGATCATAAAAAAAATATCAAAGCAATTAAAGTGGACCGAAGAAAGTAACTTTTTTTTGGTATCCATTCTGTTGTATTGAGGCGCATTTCAATTTAATGTTAAATTATTTCTCTTATAATGTAAATTAGGAACTTTAAAAAAGA